TAAGGAAAGAAGGGATTCGTTTATTTTTTATTTTTTTATTTAGCATTATTTTTTACTTTTTACTATTTTTTACTTGTTATTATTTTTACTTGTTATTAATTTTTACTTATTATCATTTTCTACTCATTATAACTTTTTACTTGTTATTATTTTTTTCTTATTGTTACTTTTTAGAACAGATTTCTTCAAAATATGACGATTTCGAACATGATCCACGGAATGTGGATGTCACTTTTGTCTTTTAAATTCAAATCCAATTTTGTTCGTCTATTATCAATTCCGTGAACAGTTTAATAAAAATTGAGTAACAGAATTATTTATCTACCTGTTTAATAATCTCGTCAAGCGTGACACATTTTAAAAAATGGGATACACAATCTCACAAAAATATTTAAATGTATTTACTACTTCAAGAATCTATTTTTCCCCAGCCCTGGAAACACATGGCGCAGAATAATCTCCCTTTGGAAGTTAACCCTTTGCACTCGAAGCTGAATTTTAAGCCAAAATTTAAAGTAGTTTTTCCGACCCACGATTTTTCCATTTTATATGACCCAGTGCATTTTATGCATATGAAATTGAATATTATGAACCATGCAACAGTTACGATCTCAACAGCTCTTTAAATATAAACAAATTTCATCAATAAAATTATTTTGAGACGTGACATAACAATTTTTAATGGCGCCTCGGAGTCGTTACTCCAGTGCAAAGGATTAAAGATGCGTTAAGATAACAAAAATAGGTACCTAAAATGTTAAGATTGTGTGACAACAAAAAGTTGTCTCTCGTTTCACACGTCCCTCATGGAACAAATGAAAATACGAACAGACTTTTCGGCGGAGCAGTGCACTCACCGTCGAAATAATTGCGCACTTACAAAAGTGCGAATGCACTGGGCATTGCAACAATTTTGTCCTCCCAGAAATGTCGCCGCAACATATCGTGCGCAATTTTTATGATATAATATCTTCTTCTGCTCCATAAAACGATGCTATAACTGGAGCGTGCAACGCAGAACATTTTTATTTTAGTAACGCACGAAACGACATCTTTGTTCTTCCTTTATCAAAGACAATTTGATGTTGAAGAGAACAGACATGAGAAATAAATTCCGGGACAACGCTACTGCGGAATATTCTCGTTGACGCTAAATGCCGTCAGTCCTTTCTCAAGATTGGCGTTCATGGTTTCATGCTTGGCAACGAATACCTTTGCTCGTTATTTGTCATTCATATGGTTTTACCTGCGGATAGGTGCACGTACCTCTCTGCTTTGTTCGGTTTCGCATAAGTCAAACCTGACGACTCGTTTCTGCCTTTCCCCGATATTCTGCGCGTTCCACGAAACGCTCGATATAAATCTCGCCGTTTATACGACGAATGAACACGTTTAAATAATAAACCTTAGTTAATAATTATAATAATAAATATAGCAAATATAATAGTCGCTAATAATCTGTGACGTTGATGCGACTTTAAACACCCCTCCCCCCCAAAAAAAAGAATAAAAATGTTGTATATTATATATATGTTATGTTAACCTTTTTGCAATCTCTCGTACATTTATATGACAATTCGATTCAATTATGGCTATGATTTTGTCATCGTCAAGTTGACAGTCAGAAGAGAACGTTGGTCATCATTAAGCGAAAAATCTTCAAAACGAAAGTGAGCCTCGGCCTCTTTCTTGCCTCTATGAAAATAAAAATGTTTGCACTCCATGTCAAAATTGACAGAAAACTATCAGTTGTAGGCAAAACTACACGGAATTTGTTTCTACAGTAACCTAAACGTGTCAATTACCAAAGCCGGAGGCAAAAAAAATGATAACCTTAACAAAAGAATGACAATGCAAACGTAACTCTATCTATTGGTGCAAACCGAGATTACTTTCTTCCCAACCCAATAATATAAAACGGCTGTTGTTTAGTGCTCCGTAAATTCAGTGTCAGGAAAACAATGTGCTAAACAATTTATTCCGTAGTGAAACCAAATACCGTCACTTTGATCGCTCCCAAAGTCGACGGCGTTCACGAACCCGTTGCCATAGATTCGACGAAATGCGAGTAGAAAAGCGAGTGTCCGCGGAATGGATTAATGTCAACAAGTTCGCGGGTCGTGCACGGGAGGAGATTCGGAGACGTAAGATTTGTCGCGTGCGAGCTCCTTTTCACGATGATTAAAAAACACGGAGACGTTGCTGTTTCGGCGTAAACTCTCGCGTTGGGGAGGAAGAGGGTATGAGGGTTGAGAGAGAGAGAGAGAGAGAGAGAGAGAGAGAGAGAGAGAGAGTAGTAGAAGAGAAAACGCGACCCACCCCTAGTTGGTTCAAGGGTGTCTGTGTCGTTCGCAGCGGCAGCGCGATCAGCCAGAAATCCGACACTCGATGAGAAAGCTCGAGGGGGATGACTTCGCTCGCTGGAAAAGTTTCTCCCATTAAGGAGATGAGATTTCATCGAAGGCTCTCTCTGCATCTTACTCTCCAGCCTCGGCCCGTCTCCCTTCGACGTCCACGTGCACCGCCATGTTACCAGCGCCCCTCGCCGCTCCGCTACCGACCCCCATTTTTTAATACGCCTTTTTACCTGTCCCGCTTTTCATTTCGCCGACGAGAAAGCCGCGGGCGGGATTAAATACCCGCGTTAATCCGATTCGCTGCAAATGTTTTTGAGCGGCTCCCCCGCCCCCAACCCCCCACCGTCGCGTCTCGCTCCCTTTATATCCCGCTCCGTCCTCTTTCATCCAGCTCCTCTCCAGGCTTTTGACTCGGCGCTGCGTTCTCACCAACGCGTTTCGCACGCGTCACACACGCACGTGGTCGGGAATGTGTGATCGAGCACACACGAGGACGGGTACACTATCGTTCAGAAGTATTTCTGGCACGGGTTCTTCGGAAAATAGAAAGTGCACGGTAGTTGCCGGTAGGAGATGTGATTCCCGCTTTTGGCTTTGTTCGGGAGTGCGCTGATTTTTATTTTTGGATGGGGATGTTTTGAAACTTACGTGGTTAGGCGCCGACAGATTCGTTCATAATTGTTTCGTGCAATTTGTTCGAGGCTTGAAAGACGATACGATCGGCGAAGAGATGCAGCATTGGGTCAAAACGGACCCAAATCTCGGCCTCAGAAGATTAATGTTACGTAGTGTATTACGAATTACTATGTATAAATGATAGTAGATACATTGTAAAAGCAGTCATTCCAAATTCTGCTACGTCACATGTGGTTTACAATCTACAGTGGTGTGGATAACCATACACACACAATCACTAACATACACATACACATGCACACACACACTAACTTTTGCAGTTTTAGTGATATTTAAACGAAAACTTAACAAAATATCATATTTGTATATTTCCATATTAGAAATAATAGAAAATAGAAATATACAAATAGTTTTCCTTATTTTGTTTAAATTTCAGTTAAAAATGTAAAAATTGTTTTGAGTCCACAATTAGACACACCACTGTACTTTCATTTCTTGGATTTCAAAAATTCCACTTCTTTGTGCATTCTACGTAGAACCGAAATATATAAATAAATTCGATTGCAGAATATTCCAAATGTCATCCACGTATTTTTAACTTTGATTAAAGAAGTGGAGACCCAAACAGTTTGCAACGTTTCCATCAGAATGTAAAAAAGATCTGAGTTCCTGAAAAAGCAGTAAAAATAAAAATGCAATTGTTAAGAATATAATTATTCAATAAGAATCTACAATATTTAAAATCTTCACTTCGAGTTAAGCATTGAGGACTCGCAGCATAAATTATGTAAAAGAAAATTGAAATTGAAATTGTTCCATAGGATGTAAAAAAGATTGTTAGAAGAAATTATAAAATAAGTTATAGAAGAGGATTAAGCTCCTGATAAGATAGCAACAGTAAAGATAGTCAAAAATACATTCCGAAAATTGTACGATTGGTAACAGTTGATTACAGCTCTTGATGAAGTACTAACAGTGAAGATGCAATAATTAAAAATACAATATTTAGAAAATTCTACAGTTAATGACAGGAGATTACAGTTTCTGATGAAGTACTAACAGTGAAGATGCAATAATTAAAACTACAATATTTAGAAAATTCCACGATTAATGACAGGAGATTACAGTTAAAGTATACAAATAAAGATGAAGTAGCAACAGTGAAGTTGGAATAGTTAAGTATGTATTTGAAAAATGTACAATTGATGCAACTATGTGTTTGAAGTGGCGGAGTTTTCGTGACACTTCAGGTGAGAACGATTCCCCAGCAAGTGTCCGAATACTTCTGGACGGAAGTGTACATGCACAGTGTGTACGCGTCGCATACCAGGGGTTGCCTGAACAGCGTGGGATGGTTGCTCGATAACGTCACCGTGATGTAGGAAAGGGGTAAGCTTGCGTCTCTTCCCCTATATATCATTACTTTCTTGGCCTCGTAATCTCGGTCGCCGCGCTAAATTTATTCATGGCTCGGATAACCATGTTAAGGTGCATTTTACCTACTGGGACGACGGTGTTTTCTCGGGTCGCGTGAGTCGCCCGCTTTTTCGAGAGGGAAGCTGGCAAAGAAAATAAATCGCAGCTAGATCTCGACACATCGTGATCGAATCGTTCCTCGAAAAAATTTGTACCGCTTGCACTTTTTCGCGAGCACGCGGGTCAAGGGAATAGAATTTTTTTTCACGCTTCTTGCGAGAGAGTAATACAAGATTGTAACGCAATATTCTCTCTCGCTCCCTCTCTCACTCTCCCTCTCTTCCTCTCCCCCTCTCTCTCTCGCTCTCTCTCTCTCTTTCTCTCTCTCCCTCTATTCGATCAAAAATCAAACAAGCTTTCGAAGAGCAGTTCACTTTTCCAAAGTGAAATGCATTTTCTTAAAATTTTTGCATGCTTGCACGAGAAGATGCATTTACACGTTTCGAAATTAGTTTTTGCCACATTTTTCTCTTAGAAACAATGATTAATTCCACAAGGATTCACATTATTTACAGAAATCTGTTCGCCTACCGTGTAGTAATCTCCTGATGATGTCAGTGCATCCAATTCACGTCCGATGCAATTCCTGAAACACAAACACACAAATATTAACAGGATCGTTCGCAATTGGAACGCTGCGGAGTTTTTTTTTTTTTAATGAAAAATATCCACTATCTCCACCTCGAGTTGCTTCCACCCTTTTCTATAGTCAAATTCTGCTTCGTATTCCAATTATTCATATCCGAAATGTTTACATTTACGGATTGCAACAGACTGCCAGATATCTGAACACAATTTTTCGATGCAAATATTTGATTTTCTTACAGCGTGAAGAGAATTTCAGACACGTCGAAATTTTCAATCAGTTTTCGAACAGCCCACTTTCGAATTCGAGTTCTCGACGAAACTTAAGACAAAATCATTTGATTGATCTGTTACCCGGGAAATGAACTGTTGTTCAACACGTTTTACAATTCGATCTTTTTTCTTCGCAGTGAAAAGTTATATTATTAAGCTTGAAGTAATAACAAAGAGAAAACGGATCTCACTTGTTGATTATACGTTTTGACAAAATATTTTACGACATAATCCGAAGATACATAAGTCAAACATTTCCAATGTACAAATTCCGCACGTGATGCGGAATTATTAGATTGCGAGGTTTTAGGCAAAATAAAAATTTTCACAATAAATTGTCAGGAACGAGAAATGAAATAAATATCTGAATTAGTTAGAAACATGTTGTGCTACTGGTGGCTCCACGCTCAACAAAAGGCACCAATGAGTATGAAACTGCAACAGTCACTGTAGAGGTGCGCGCTAAATACCTGGTTCGCATGTTTACAAATTGACAAATACACGGTTCGAATTCAGATTGGAGGACGTTTATACTAATACACCTATCCTGCATTGGTTTTCGAATTTTTCGCCACGATCAAGTCACGCCACGGATGTGTTTCCTCCTACATATCCATGTGACTTGATATACACAATGTGGGAGAGAAACACATCCACGCGATGGACTCCATACGTAATGTATAACTGTGTTATGTGTGGAGCATCCATAGCGTACATGTACATCTTTTTACTATGGCATACCAAAAATCTGAAAGAATTGAGAACAATGCTTGCGACATTATTCTATAGGGAACTTAATACGAAGATAGCATAATTTTTTTTTCAACTTTTATAGACACGTTACTCACTAATTCGCGTGATTGGCTACTTAGTGTTCTGATTCATCACTTGTTGCATACTTTCGAGTGTTTTAAATGCGCAGAAAATTGCGCGCTCCATTTTACTCTGTAACCACCAGCCTTTTATGTTTCACAGTTGAAATTTGACACCAAGGATTTTCGCTTGCCAACTATCGAATAATGTAATATACGTTGAGAAAATTGAAAGAGTAAATGTGACCGTTTCCACTTCAGTTAGGTCCGTTTATTTATCGCATCTACAGTGGTGCATAATTGATGGAATATATTAAACCTATGCTGAAATCCTTCATAATATTTTCATTGGATAACTCTACGTGGCAGTGATGCCGAATTATTAGATTGCGAATCTCTGTGCAAAATAAAAATTTTCACAATAAATTGTCAGGAACGAAAAATCAAATACAGAAAAATATACATTAAATTAATAAATATTTGAATTAGTTAGAAAAATGTTGTGCTACTGGTGGCTCCTCGCTCAACAAAAGACACCAATGAGTATGAAATTGCAACAGTCATTGTAGAGGTGCGCGCTAAATACCTGGATCGCATGTTTACAAATTGACAAATACACGGTTCGAATTCAGATTTGAGGACGTTTATACTAATACACCTCTCCTCCATTGGTTTTCGAATTTTTCGCCACGATCAAGTCACGCCACGGATGCGTTTCTCCCTACATATCCATGTGACTTGATATACACAATGTGGGAGAAAAACATATCCCCCGTGGTGGGCTGCGTACGTAATGTATTACTGTGTTATATACGTCACCCATGCGGGACATGTACATCTTTTTACTATGGCATACCTTACCAAAAATCTGAAAGAATTGAGAACAATGCTTGTGACATTATTCTATAGGGAACTTAATACGAAGATAGCATAATTTTTTTTTCTTCTTTTATATTAGTTAGTTATAGACGCGTTACTCACTAATTCGCGTGATTGGCTACTTAGTGTTCTGATTCATCATTTCTTGCATACTTTCGAGTGTTTTAAATGCGCAGAAATTTACGCGCTCCATTTTACTCCGTAACTACCAGCCTTTTATGTTTCACAGTTGAAATTTGGCACCAAGGATTTTCGCTTGCCAACTATCGAATAATATCATATACGTTGAGAAAATTGAAAGAGTAAATCTGACCGTTTCCATCGCATCGTCCGTTTATTTATCGCATCTACAGTGGTACGTAATTGATGGAATATATTCCACCTATGGTACAATCCTACATAATATTTTCATTGGTCAACTCTACGTGGCAGTGATGCGGAATTATTAGATTGCGAGCCTTTGTGCAAAATAAGAATTTTCACAATAAATTATATAGATCGAAAAGTCAAATAGAGAAATGTACATTAAATTAATAAATATTTGAATTAGTTAGAAAAATGTAGTGCCACTGTTGGCAGTACGCTCGACTAAAGTCAACTCTGAGTATGAAATTGCAACAGTCACTGTAGACGTGCACGCTAAATATCCTGGTTCGCATGTTTACAAAATGACCAATACACGGTTCGAATCCAGATTTGAGAAGGGGACGCGTTTATACTACCCTCCATTAGTTTTCGAATTTTCCGCCACAATCAAGTCACGCCACGGATGTGTTTCCCTCCTACATATCCATGTGACTTGATATACAAAATGTGGGAGAGAAACACACCTCCCGTGGCGCTGCGGATGTAACGATAACTGTGTTATATTCGGAGTACCAAGGGAACATGTTGTACATCTTTTTACTATGGCATACCTTACCAAAAATCTGATAGAATTGAGAACAATGCTTGTGATATTATTCTATGGAGAACTTAATATGACGATAGCATAATTTTTTTTCTTCTTTTATATTAGTTAGTTATAGACGCGTTACTCGCTAATTCGCGTGATTGACTACATAGTGTTGTGATTCATCATTTGTTGCATATTTTCGAGTGTTTTAAATGCGCAGAAATTTGCGCGCCCCATTTTACTCCGTAACTACCAGCCGTTTTTGTTTCACAGTTGAAATTTGGCACCACGGATTTTCACTTGCGAACTATCGAATAATGTAATATACGTTGAGAAAATTGAAAGAGTAAATGTGACCGTTTCCACTTCAATTAGGTCCGTTTATTTATCGCATCTACAGTGGTACGTAATTGATGGAATATATTCCACCTATGGTGCAATCCTACATAATATTTTCATTGGTCAACTCTACGTGGCAGTGATGCGGAATTTTTAGATTGCGAGCCTTTGTGCAAAATAAAAATTTTCACAATAAATTATATTGAACGAAAAATCAAAAATAGAGAAATGTACATTAAATTAATAAATATTTGAATTAGTTAGAAAAATGTAGTGCCACTGTTGGCAGTACGCTCGACTAAAGTCAACTCTGAGTATGAAATTGCAACAGTCACTGTAGACGTGCACGCTAAATATCCTGGTTCGCATGTTTACAAAATGACCAATACACGGTTCGAATCCAGATTTGAGAAGGGGACGCGTTTATACTACTCCTCAATTGGTTTTCGAATTTCAGCCACGATTATTAAGTCACGTCAAGGATGTGTTTCGTCAGAAATTTCCACTTGGCGGGGGTATACAGTGTGGTAGAGAAAGAAACACATCCCTGCGATGGTGCGGGCTGTACAGTTTATAGTGTTGCGTATAGACCATACCCCCGCAGATATGTACAATTTTTGCTATGGCATACCTCGCCAAAAATCTGAAAGAATTGGAGAACATTGCTTGCGATAGTATTCTATGAGGAAAATAATATGAAAATAGTGTACTTCTTTTTTCTTGTTTTATATTGGTTATTCATAGACGCGTTTGTTGTTAATCCGGATGATTAGCTAATTAGTGTTCTGATTCATCATTTGTTGCATACTTCGGAGTGTTTTAAATGCGCAGGAAATTGCGCGTTCTATTTTACTCCGTATCTACCAGCCTTTTATGTTTCACAGTTGAAATTTGGCACCTAGGATTTTCGCTTGTCAGCTATCGAAAAATGTAATATACGTTGAGAAAATTGAAAGAGTAAATGTGACCGTCTCCACTTCAGTTAGCTCTTTTTATTTATCGCATCTACAGTGGTGCATAATTGATGGAATATATTCAACCTATGCTGCAATCCTATATAATATTTTCATTGGTCAACTCTACGTGGTAGTGATGAGTAATTATCAGATTGCGAATCTGTGTGCAAAATAAAAATTTTCACAATAAATTGTCAGGAACGAAAAATCAAATAGAGAAATGTACATTAAATTAATAAATATTTGAATTATAGTTAGAAAAATATTGTGCCACTGTTGACAGTACGCTCGACTAATGTCAACTCTGAGTATGAAATTACAACAGTCATTGTAGACGTGCGCGCTAAATACCTGGTTCGCATGTTTACAAAATGACCAATACACGGTTCGATTCCAGATTTGAGAGAACGGTTCATTTGCTATACTCCTCTCATTGGTTTTCGAATTTCAGCCACGGTTACGTGTCACGTCAAAGGTTTGTTTCATAAAATTTCTACTTGACGGCGATATCTAATGTGGTAGAAAAATAGATACGCATCCCCGCGGCGGTTTGGCGTACGCAACTTAGAGTATTGTGTGTACGTCATTCCCACGCGGATATGTATATTTTTTACTATGGCATACCTCGCCAAAAATCTGAAAGAATTGGAGAACATTGCTTGCGATAGTATTCTATGAGGAAAATAATATGAAAATAGTGTAATTTTTTTCTTGTTTTATATTGGTTATTCATAGGCGCGTTTGTCCTAATCCGGATGATTAGCTAATTAGTGTTCTGATTCATCACTTCTTGCATACTTCGGAGTTTTTTAAATGCGCAGGAAATTGCGCGTTCTATTTTACTCCG